AGAACTGAATACTGCGACAGCACACAATTTCCAGCGTGTAGCTTCTTCGGACCAAAGCTGACGAGATCATGCAGCTATTGCAAGGTGCCGTTCATGGCCGACGCTGGCCCAATGGTGCCAGGTAGATGGCTCAGTTTTCGTGGGCATCACTGGAGTGCGGAGATGGTTGCCGTAGGGCATCAGCCAGGGTGCCCGGCCAGGCCGATAGAGCAACATGCGAAGATGCGAGCATTAACCACACTTCCCGACCTTTTTGGTGCTGCGGCCTGGACTTTGTTGGTGGAGGTGGCTCTGGCCTTGATACTGATACTTCAGGGTTTATGTCCCACTCCTTCTGGTCCTGTCTTCGGCAAGGCACGCCATTTTCAAGGGCAAGTTCTCACGGCACGTCTTGCCTTTCATGAACACGCCGTTGTACAGCGATATTCCACGTCTTTCCTCAGGTATCTTCCAATGTCACGACATCAATAACCAGTCTGCCAGATGCGGCCAGTAACAACAATGTGCTGCCTACTAGGGATCGCTGCGCCAGACAGGGGGTTTATTAGGGATGCAAGGGCATAATTTGGGGATTACGGGAGCGGCTGCTTGTGAGTATAGAAAGCAAATAAATGTGCCTGCGTTTAGCGACAAATCCTTGAAGCCGTATCTTCCAGCCAGCGCCACTCAAAGATACACAAGAATAAATGCAGGTGATTGGGTGGCCAGATGGGGCAGCGTAGCAACAGATGCGGCGCGGTTAAGCAGGAACCAGAAGGAACCCATATCTTCGGCAACTCGAGTGTCCGGAAACACATCCACATTGCACTTTCATCGAGACAAGAAACAGACGGATACTACCAACGCTGAAGCTGTGACACCCGATTGAATCCAAACCTCTTCCAGGACCTAAACCGTCTGCGCAAAGTGTGAATCACAAACATGGCGCTGTTTTCCCATTCAAGGCGCTTTCGCAGTGATGGGAGATTAAGCTTGGCTTTGCAATGTCCGCCAATCTTAGGAGAGACACTCATTTGAACAGCCTGTACTAGTACAGATATCATCTGTGGCTAACAAGGTTCCCGTTGTGCATAATGTGTTTGTTGTGCTTGTCATCGTTGTTCTGTGCCTTTTTCTTCTTCTCTTCTTCCCCCAGTACTTGTCATGGTTGCTGCCGCTTCCTCTCATTAGTGGCCAGATTACCGTGTTCTTCCGTGCTTTCAACATGGTTCTCACTCTCCGAGAGAATGTTCCCGTGCACCACTCGCGCTGGAAGTAATGGAAAGAAGTACAGTTCTCCCAAGACAGCCAAACATCTTCGTGCATCTATGCACACCCTACGTTGCAGCTACTCCCGCAGCAGTCTCAGCAAATGGCAAAGACCTTTCCAGCACATTTCTTGGGCTCAGAGCTAGAAAAAAACCTTCAAATGCCCTGATCATTTTAGGTCTCAGCTGCTGCACATGGAAGGCTGGCTTTTCGCAGCATGCCTTCGAGCTTTCATGCCCTTCACGTAGGAGAGGACCAGCTGGCTATGACGAACACATCTAGCTAGGTCCGCTTCTACTGCAGACCCCTGGAGAGCAGATATGCAGCTGATCATCGTCCATGTCAGGGTGATGAACGTCGCTACTCGCTGCTCACTTGTGGAAGCCTGACTGGCCGTCCGTGAACACAACATGGCATGACTCGACACGTCTACCTATGTGTACCTAACTTCTCAGGCGGGGCAACTGTCCCTGTCGCTGAGAGGCGGGCAGCCGAAAACAAGCGTCTTGCCTCAGCACGGATGCTCTGCTCAGTAAGATAATGATAACACTTCTGCTTTGCATATCTATGCTGTCTCGAACTCTGTTGGGACCTTGATAGAAGTCTCAGCCAGCACTCAAAAATCTGACATGCAACATCATTTGACTTCTGCCACATATGTTTTATGGGAAGGGGTGAGTTATGGTTACTTGTCACTCAGTTATAAACGAGTTCTGACCTCCAAAATCCGCACGAAAAATTGCATCTGCTTCCGGTCAGCACCGGATCTTTTGCATTCAATTCGAATTTGTGGATTGCATTCAAGAATGTCGTTCAAGCGTACAATACAGCCAGTGAAGCAACGTGTGTATACGGACGTATAAGGAACATACTTCCAAACTCCAATAAGCAGACACGCCTGCCAAACAATGTCCAACTCTTCCCGCAGCGATGTGCAATGGGCTTTAAGGTGATGCTCCGTTTCCAGCATCCATTAGTATTTGTCCGCTTACATAGGTCGATTCATTTTTGGCCTGTGCTGCACCCATGACCCTGTAATCCACAACCTATGCACGACATGCGATCAGCGACCAGACATTCCTCTAACTGATCTTGCAAGTCTTGCAATCTTGCGCAGGAACATCGGCTAGAAGCCGTTTGACTAGTCTAGGATGGTCTACGAGCCAAAGACCTCTGTCAGAGGCAGGGTGCTTTTCAAACTCTGCGACGGCATCTTTGATTACAAGACCATATGTGCCAATCTGTGCAAGGTACCGATAGGTACCGAACGCGACCGGAGGTACAAGTTGAGCCAATAGGAATACTGGTTCACAAATGCCATACGGTTGCCCAAAACGCCAGCTGACAGTGTTCCAAAGCCAAGGGGCTTATTATCCGTTGGCTCGATGGCTCTCTTCATCGAGGAATTGTGAGATCTGGGCCTCAAGTCACAAAGCAAGGCAAGGACTTTGCAGCATGTGCCTCGAACATTGAGCATACTTGGTGGGCACCCATTCGTAGTACAGAGCCAAGCATGTAGCATGTCCTTTTGGCAAAAAATCTTGCATGCCCAAGACATCAAGGCGCCAACACAGGTTTGAATCTGCGCCTGTCGTTGCCTCGCTTTGCATTCAGGGGAGCATACAGTCTACATTCTTACACAAAGGTAGAAGGCAGATTGGCTTGCTATTCACCGCAATAACCGAACTGTGCCGGGCGCACCCCCTTTCCCAGGGGCCAAGGAAGCTGCGGTTCGCTAATGGCACGGTCCTAGGCTGTTCCCAAACAAGCACGCTGGGTATCCCAGTATAAAGGAAAGCAGAGGCGAACCCATCGGGCCTTCAAAACTTCAAGTGAAGCTTTGGGCTCTGCACAGTCTGATTGAGCGCCCAGCACATTTGCTCTGAAAAGCGGTGGCCAACCCTTGTCCTGGCAGAAACTCTTTTCCTGATTGTTTACCCTGGCTGTCAGCAGCTACATGACAGGCCTTCAGGTCCCTCTCATAGCTCCAGTACCAAACCTGCCAGGATAACCCGCTGTGTTCTGCGACCTGCTGTTAGACTGACAATTTTCTGTCCAACGGTGTTCTGCTGTGCTTCTCGGGTGGGGCGTTGGTGACTCCAGCTGCTTCAAGCTTAAACTTGTTTCTGCTGATGCAATCCTTCTGACAATCCTGCCCTTGCATACGCTAATGGTGCCGAGTGAACCTGGAAGACAGGTGCAAATACCGAAAAATGCGGCTATTGCTACTACGCATTTCGGGCACCTAGACAGCATCCTGATACTTGTACTAATTGTGCTAGATTCTGCTAGATAGTATGACATATCACTACTGATGCAGATGATGCTTCGAGTACTTCTTCTTTTGCCGCTAGAACACACATGCTGGACCGGCATCATACATGCAAAAGATGCGTGTTTCCCGTCAGGCTCACAATATGCCCAGCACCACCCATGAAACTCTGCTTAGATACACAAACTTCTGCGCGGTTTCCAGGGACTGCTGCTCATCATACCAGCTTCATCATTTTCAAACGTCAAATCCTCCGGTAACTGCATTTCCCAAATTCTAGAGAACCCCTGGCGGCCCGGGCAGCATGAGAACCCCAGCAACAGAAGGGATGCATGACCAACAGAAACACCCACATGGTACTTTCCGTGAAAAAGGGGACCCCAATACAGACCCCAAATACTATAATCCTTCTTATAGGGGACACCCAAAGAAGGTACAGTAGCCCTAATTTTGGGGAACCCTAATCCCTATAATCCCCTATATAATCCCAGTTTCCATTTCATTTTCCATTTTCTTTTCCATTTGATTCTCCATTATATAGATAGGGGACCCCCAAAGAAGGTACAGTAGCCCTATTTTGGGGAACCCTAATCCCTATAATCCCCTATGTAATCCCAGTTTCCATTTCATTTTCCATTTTCTTTTCCATTTGATTCTCCATTATTGGGGGTAATATCTTACCAATCCTAAACCATAAACCCTAAACCCTAAACCCCCCAAATGCTCAAAGGCAGGAAGCGTCTCTCAGCTCCGTGCAGGCTTGCCAAGTTCTAGATTCGGGGCAAAGGCCTTTCAGCGACTTAGAACCAAGTCTACATTTGCTGCAGACATGTGAGTTTTTTGTCTAAACTCCTAGTATCCCCCTTAATAACTCCTATTGCCGTTCCCTTTTTTCCCCTATATAACCCCTCTTTAAGGAGTTTAGACTACAGTTCATGTATCCTCACTCTGCTCCCTGTTAAGGGCTTAGGTGCCTCTATTATGTACTACTATCGGTTCAATTCAGTACTAACAGCATCTGGCAATGCTACTGCCATGATTATTCTTGTGGGCTTTCCATCTGCAAAACGTGGCACTGCTTGCAAAACGTGCCTGCTGCAGTCGGTTCTGAACCTCACTGTACCGATCAGAGAAGGATGATGGATGAGTATGGTGCAGAACTCAAATATTCTCCAAAAAACTACCCATATACCCCATCATAGTAGTTTCCATGTTCTTTTCCATTATCTCAAAAAAAACATTATGTCCCTAATATTATCCCAGTAGGAGACAGCTCTCTCAGGCTGAAGCCCTCATGATGAATGTCTTCTTCTCCGCAAGGGATTTCTCTTCACCTTGTTGCAATGCGACTTCAAAATGCTGCTGGCCCGCACCTTTGTCATGAATGAGCCGGCTCAAATGCCACGATGGTGGGACAATCTGACGAACATGTCTGCCCAGATCCAACTGGCATTGCATGTGATGATGCTCACCATCGCCCTCAAACATCACGGCCAAGACATGAGATAAGGCTGACTGGCTGGCCTTCCTGCAGATTGTCATCTTTGTTCCAACATGCGCTGGGCTCTGGTATGTCCTTCCAAGCGATGCCAGCATCAGCTGCGCTTCAGGTACTACTCAGAGCATCTGGTCATTGACTTCCATCATGTCAATATGCAGTAGGTGGTCAGCATAGCGAGCACATGGCCATGTATCTTGATCTGGTCCTCTCACGAGGCACTGCTCTGCAAGTGAGCAGTTAGGCCGTTAGAGGTCACGGGACCAACAAGCCACTTCTATGAGAAAGGGTAATTCTACGAAGCACCTTTGCAACTTCAATATCGGAGCATGTCTTCCAGGAGTCTCGAAGGCATGCTGGGCCTGGGCAACAGTTTTGACATAGCCGGTGTCGGGCTCAAACTTCTCCTGCAGATGACGACGAGCTCATAGATTTGTGGAATGGACTGCAGCCCATGCAGGGATTCAACGGGGAGTCCTCGTAGCCTGGGCATTGCAGGTACCATAAGACTCGTCTGGCAGCATCTTCGTATGCCTCCTGGAAACACGGCATCGCCCAGCAGCATTCAAACTAGAAGAAGTGTGCAATTGTATGCAATGGTTCATCTTCGGCAGGAATGGATGGCTCACCATGCTTGCTTGTTGTCAACTCCTCCTGTGTGGAGTGTCTCTTGCTGGGAAACGTATGCGGCACCTCAGCAGGAAAACAAAGTTCAAAAAAAGGACCGCGCTCTTCCAATGTAACTATCACAGCCTTCTCTCCATGTGCCTTCAACATTTTAGATCTCATCAAGGACTTAATCGGGCATGCGTCCAGCAGCATCCGAACGTAAAGATGCTTGGCGATGCGCATCCAACAAACGTACTTCAGCAAAAGCTTGACAAAGTCCGTCTTCCCACCTCGCAGGCAGGGCGTGGCTATGCAGGCTCAGCATGCAGTGTCGCTTTGCATGAGGGAACCCCTCAGGCCGCTGCAGTTGTCAACATTTTATGTTTGGGACATTCCGACAATGCGCAGGTGTCTTCAAAACTTTGCAATTGACAACATGGTCCAAGTCAACGAGTCTGAAAGCGCTTCTCTACACTTCGCTTGGCAGCTTGGCATGCGGCCGATGACTCCAGCCAACTGAAGCCGGATTGTCCCAGCAAAGCCTGCGAATGACGTGAACTCTGGGCTTGATCCAAATCTCAATTCTAAACGTGCTTCTGCCACCTATGCACATTGATGCCCATGCCATTCTCATTGTCACTGTATGAACCTATCAGAAGCTGCCTTCTGGCCCTACACCGCACTGGCTCAAGAGCATTGCGCTCTCGGATTAGGCAATTTGTGTTGCTCATGCAAAGTGTTGTTAAGTTCATACAATCCTGAAAGAACTAAACGATGCAATCTGCGCACCGGAAGTGTTGGGGTTCCAAAATACAATATTTGACAGGACGGCATTTCGGCTAGCGAGAATTGACGTTCGTCTTGCAGACCATCGTGTTTTGAGACTGCAGTCCAAATTGATGGCAGTCGTCAGCAGCACCCACCTTATACCCAACAAGTCCTTTCTTCACTTGAGGACATGTCTCGTACGAAAAGCTACTTGCATTCAGGATCCCAGCGCCTCTGGCAAAACTTTTCCAAAAGCTCCACCTGCAACTTTCTGGCTTGGACTGAGTCAGATCGACTGAAAGCTGCTCAAATCCCTGGAAGCGACAAACAGCTGAGCAGCGATGCTGGGGTAAGACTGCTTGCCAACAACAAGGGTTTCGCGACTCGTGGACCCTCAGCATACACACTGGGACAGCTTGCATCGTTTGCGGGCTAAGCTTCTTTCTAAACTTGTCATATCTATTTGGCCGCTCGTGGCCTCTGTTCGAGCTTCTGGTAATGGTTCGTGGTCTCGGGTTCCTGCAGCAGACCAGCTCAAGTCTGGACAATAACCTTCCTCATGCACTAGTGTCAGTCTCAGCTGGGCAGTGCCAAGCAGTAGAAACATGTAAAAGCGCTGGAACGGCCAGCAGCTAAGACAGTGCATATTCCAGGGTCAATGTATCTGGCCTGCAAGCTCATCCAGCGTGATGAGCGAAGCCCACCGGCTCACGAAGAGGCCAAGTGTCTGCAGGCATCAAGCTGCCGACTTATGATGAAAGTGTAGATTCACCAATGATGCGAAGCGGGCACAGTGTAGTGGCGTAGTGAAGTGCAAAATGGCAGCTTGGGAACATGCTGAGGCTCAAGCCCTCTCTGCGGCATCACGCTGCGCAAGCTTCTTTGATGGTCGCCAAATCTGAGGTTTTCACAGAGGTGGCAGCAACTCGTTGGGCTCGTCTCATCATGTCTCGTCTTTGCAAGCTCATATAAGCTCATTAAGGGCTTGGCTCCCACAGTGTGGTGCGCCACGCCATCCAGAAGAAAAGAGCAAACCGCACGGAACTCCAGCGTTGTCCCGACCTTGGTGCTTGCTTTTGTAATGTAGTCTGCAGCCAGCAAACATGTTGGGCCGTCACCATGCGCGTGTCATAGTCCCACCTTAAGGTTCATGAGACTTGTTCTTTCTCACCTGGTAAAATCATTGTGGAAAATCGTGTGCAAGCTCACTGAGAGGCCATCTGTAGTACCGGGCAGTTTGGCGGCATTGGAAAAAGTTTTGCACCCTGGACGAACCTGGCCAGCATTGACCAATAGGCTTAGGGTTACTCTACAGAACCTGTACAAATTAACGGCAGATTACTAAGCTATACCAGAAATATGAAACAAGCATGCAATGTAAATCTGAGAGCCCCAACCTGAATGCATATCAGAAGAAATCATAAGAAATCATACACACACTTTGAGGCTGACAGGACTTGGACATGGATCCTACCATGTCGATTTGAACGCCGAGCGTGCTGCTTCCTAGCTTAGGCAACAGAGCTTTGAAAAGGTCCTTTCACATAATTTTGCTCTGCGTTGTTATGTGCTTCGTGTCGTTTGCAACCAGGAGGGGCGTGGACAAGTGACTATTCCACAGTCAGACTGTCAGGCAAAGCCGAAGCAGTAGGAAGGGCGAGCATGTTTAGACTAAGTAACTTAGTACATCTCCTTATTTCTGGAGCTTTTCTTGAGCATTTGTCCAAATTGCGCCGGGAAGGCTCCTGTAGCTGAGATATGGAACCTTTGCTCAAGCCTGACACCGCGAAATCGGAGTCGACAGGCAGCCAAGGCAGGTATCAGCGAAAAAGGATGAGCACTCTTGAAGCTCGCCTGAATCCTCCATGGGCGACGAAGCTGGCGATGAGCCAACACTGCCGCGGCTGCCGGACCTCACCGCGGGAGATCTGAAACATGAGGTTCCAATATCCCAAATCGAAACTGCTCATTCTCGATAAGGCAGCGACGTCGAAGCAGCACCAGCCTACATGCAACGAAGCGTTCAGAAGGCATCTGACGCGTGGAGAAGACGAGCACAACGTCGTGCACTGCTCAATCATGCAAGGCTATGCTCTCAGGTTGGACGGAAAGCTGAATCCATCAGCATGTTATGTTTGCAAAGTGGCCTGACCAGCATGGTGCCCAGGCATGTGTGGCAAAAAACAACCTGCAACGGCAAGGACAAAACCCAGCTAACAAAGCACTGTGCTGGTCTTGAAGATCACCACCCAGTCTTTGGACTTGTCTTTGCACCGTGTGTGCTTGTGTCTCCAAGACCATAAGATGCACGGAGCAGCTCTCCACTGATCTTCAGTTTGCTGTGCGGTTGAAGACCGGCCTTGGGGGTGGTACCCCATCGGGAGCGCTCCTGGGCCTGAGCACTGCAGCAAAGCATGTAGGCAATAGAGCCTGCATGAACAACTGGTGGCAGGACCACTTGGATTGCCCTCGTCTGGTCGGGTCTCTCAAGGGCTGTTTCTGCTCGCCCTTAGCAGGTTCCCCTACTTTTAAGGGAGCAGTCAACTTGCCAGGGGCTTTGCCTCCTGCTAATCAAAAAAGTCCCGGTGCGGGAGCTCAGTTCTCATACGCAGACTTGCCAGCACCATAGGAATAGATGGTCACGGTATCTTTGGCTCGCTTCACCGGTACTTTGAAGGCTTCGAACACGGGGTCCGAGATGTACTCTTTGTAGAGCTTCTTCACCTCATCCTTGTTGCCGGAATCAGCTGCCTCCATGATCTTGTCAGAGAGCTCGGACTGCTTCTCATAGT